TAAAAATGACAATTTAATCATTTTTAATATTATATAATCGTTCTATTGTTTTTCCCTTTTGCTCCGGGGGGGGGGGGATTGACTTTTCCCTTAGCAGTGCCCCCCTCCCCGGANTTTTTTTTTTTTTTTTTTTTTTTATTTTTTTTTTTTTTTTTTTTTTTTTTTTTTTTTTTCCTTTTTTTTCTTTCTTTTTTTTGTTTTTTTGTTTGTTTTTGTTATTTAAAGGGTGTCCATTTGAACTAAAGGGTTTGGGAGGGGAGGACAAAAATCAAGAAAAAGTAGGAAAATGGGTCTGGCCCCTTCCTCAGAAAAAATTTGAAAACTAAAATTTGCTTTTTATGGCACATACCTAAATTTAGTTAATGACCATTCTACACTGAGAAGACATGATAGAGGAAATTTAGTTTGCTTCTAGATTATTATAGAAATAGCGGAAATGATAACGCTTGAAATGAAAAGAAAGGACAATAAAAAGAGAATGTTTCGGCTAAGAGCCTCCTTCAGCAGACCAGACAAAACAAGAAACACCAAGAAAACAAAAGTTTTAAAACTCATGTTTCTTGAGTTCACAAAGTACAGGAATATTACTTTATTTCCAAAGATTGAATTGTCAAAAATCAAAATTATGTGTGCTACCCAAAATTTAAAATGTAAGATTCTATCCAAACAAAGATATTTTGAAAATATGTAACAAAGAAGAAATAGGAAAAGAAATACGGGGACATTGAGAGCACTAGTAAGAGAGTATTTGATTGATTCCACATGGGGTGATATGTTGCCGGAAATCTGAATTAATTTGTTTTGTACCGGTATCTCAACTCTCGCTGGTGTATTTGTGCAGTAAATTAGTGTCATGATGGAAACATCTGATGTGCCTTTGTTTTTATCTCTGTTAAAATGGGATGAGACCAGGTAAAGTTTGCCTTGTTAGATATCATGAAGATGTTCAGTGAACCCATTTGATAATCTTTTCTGTTTCACCTATATAAATGGAGCAGCATCTTTGGCACACAATCTCATAGATAACATTGTGACTAACACATATGAAATACTTTTTGGTGATAAAGAAAGTAGGCTTAGGGGGGTTAATGTTTTTGGTTTTCAGTGTACAGGTGCAAGTCCAATAATGATGTCTTGATTATGATTTAGTCCCAACGTGAAACAGGGATGTTTACAAACATATCTAGTGCCTTAAGGGAAAAGAGGAGTGTTTGACTTTGATAAGGCTTACAATCATAGCTGGTGTCATAAAAGTGAAAACAAGAGGGTTTAACTGTGATAAAGCTTACAATCATAGCTAGTGTCTTAAGTGAAAAGAAGAGGGTTTGACTCTGATAAAGCTTACAATCATAGTAGGTGTCTTAAGTGAAAAGTAATGGGCTTGAATGTGAAAAAGCTTACCATCATAGTTTCTCAAATGAAAACAAGTGGGTTTGACTTTGATAAAGCTTAAAATGATAGTGTCTTAAGTGAAAAGAAGAGAGTTTGACTGTGATAAAACTTACAATCATACCTAGCGTCTTAAGTGAAAAGAAGAGAGTTTGATTGTAATAAAACTTACAATTATAGCTAGTGTACACTGAGTCGTACAAAACTATGCCTAATGCAAAGAAAGAAGCAACAATATAATTGCAGACCTGTTTACCCTCAAACTCCTAAAATCGTACAATATCGTCTCAAAATCGTACAATACAGTATCTTAATAGTAAATAAATAAATATCCAGTATATATAATATATAATGTCTACAGTAACTACTGGTATAGCGTGTGTCAGTGGCATTCAGTTCAGCGGTTTGTCAACAAATGGAACTGAAGGTACCCATCAGTATACGACTGACGTCAACTGCAAACTGCGGCCACTTCATTTTGAAGACCTGCATCTGCTGTAGATACCTCCATGTTTGTGACCTCCATAAACGATATATTTATTTTTATCCCACCCTTTATATTATTTGTGTATTCCCTATTTGGAAGTGTACTTGTAAGAATTTCATCCAGGAAACCTGGCGAAAACCTAATATGGCATAGGCGCCGGGAAACAAAATTATAAGAACCACTGGCGTAGCCCAACGAAATATGCGTCACACGCGCGCAGTACACTCATGACTAAACACAACTGTAACTTCTCTCCCAATGCTAGCGAGTTTATTGGTGAAAATACACCTTGAGTTAAGAGATGAATATTGTAGACTTTTTAAATAACGTACGTTCTTTCTGCCGAGGAACGTAAATCAAAACTGCCACCATAATGGACGAAAAAAAAAAAAACACACAAAAAAACAACATGTCATTACGGAAATGTCGCGGTGTTGATTGTATAGATTTAAGTCTTTAGACCCAAGCCAAACCCAAAATTTCCTAAATCAACACCACTCCTTTTGTCCCTGGTAGATTGCTAATGAAAAGTCCGACTTGCAGATTGTGTAATTGTGCAGTGCGCGCATGATGGACCATTCGACGAAGAACGCAACTTAGAAAATTTTGTCTGATATTCAAGCAAGACTATCTGCTGATAAACTTTCTTTTTCTTTTGTTGAATCGGATGTTTATCGGTAGAGAGAGAAGTTTCTTCTTCATCACCCATTCCGCGAACCTTTCTTTTTGTCGAGGTCATAATCGTAAAATACTAAGTGAGGTCAACTACAAAACCGAAAACAAGAATGATGTCCGATTCCATTAATGATAATGGTAACATTAAAATCACGCAATGTGCACATAGGTCAATGCAGCCAAATTCTAGCGCCAGAGCTGTTTGGACAGCTCATATATAACATTTCAAATAAAAATGAAAAAGTTAACAATTATTCATACCTCGTCCCCCAGCCGCACGCCCTGCCAACCAAAGATGACTTACTCACTGAGGATGCGTATGAGTTTTGATTGGGTTGGGGGGGGGGCACCAGAATGCACCTACATGTATGCATCAATTCTACAATAATTATCCTGATTCCTGACAGTCTCTTATAAAGCCAACTGTCACATGAAAATCTGTGAAATCCACGAATTCTAATTAGGTATTATTATTATTATTAAGGCTATACAAATATCACCACAATGCTTCGCACTCATCCACTCATCGTATACCGTATACGAGTGCTTTGTGTTTTCATAAAGAGGTCGCTGTAGTAGACATATTGAACACGACATAGTGACAACACACACTAGTCCACTAACACGTATTTCCGTGCTGGTGACGAACCCACCTTCCCCCACCCTCATTAATAGGAAAAACATAGTGCCCTCGCCTATCCAATATGCCCCGAGTTTTTACGTTCACATCCTATAGAGCAGTGGTCAGCATACTCATTGGTCAAAAGAGCCCAAATCAGCAGCAGGACCATTAAACAAATTTTGCGAGCCAAATTTATTTTGAAGAACCTGTCAAGGACCATGTTTTTCGGAGTAAAAACCGATTTGTAGTTGACTGGCCGAGCCGCGGCTTGCCGACCACTGCTATAGTATCAGAGACTAGTAACTACCACAAGCTGTAAACAAAAATGGATTGGGGGGGGGGGGCAGTTGTAGCAGTAGTGATACAAAACTGTTTTATTGTATTAAAATCGTTGAGGGGATAGAGTCAGAGGCGTAGCGAGGGTGTTTGGCGCCCGGGGACAAGATCCATTTTAAAGTGCCACTTTTTCTTTTTTTCAACTCTCAAGCCCATTATTTTCATCAATAAAATAATATCAAAGCACATTTTGGCGCCCCTAAACAGGGATTCTTTCAGCTATATCTCTGGGAGGGGGGGCAGTGCCCCTCCCAGGGGGGGGGGGGCACAGGGCCCCCCCCCCCAGGGGAAAAAAAATGCCCACAAAAAAAAAACACGGACCCCGGGGCCCTCCCCCCCCCCCCCCCCGGAAAATCTGAAGTGCCCCTTCCCCGAAAATCTGAAATGCTCCCGCGGTGGAAAATTTCTGAAAGAAACATGCCCCTAACTAGCTGGCGCCCGGGGAATCCGTCCCCCTGCCCTCCTCGCTACGCCTCTGGATAGAGCTGCTCTGCGAGTTCTACAATATTTTTTTTTAATGCCACTGACTAAATCTTACACCTCTAGTTTTCTCTCTTCACAATCCTCGCGGTTCAGACGAACACACGCTTGCTAGCAGTAGCAGTCCAATGAGGTGGTGAGTGAAGTTGTTGCCAGGCGACTAGCCTAAAGATTGCTGTTGACACAGCTAGCTGGTTCACTGTGACACACAAAGCAACACTAAGACCATCACCACCATCAATAGGATGCGTGGCGGTGATATTTTTATATCTTTTGAAAGTCCCACCTATCCCACCCCACTACCCGTGTTTCTGGTATGCCACCAATCTCTTTAATCAACAATCCCCACATCACCTTTCAGTGCGTACATAAATATAATGAAGGATGGTCCCAACTATAAAAAAACATAGAAAAACCCATCGTTGTTTTCTGGGTCCATTCAATGCGGGACCATAGGGCTAAAGCTTCCACAACCGAACATTTTTAAACTTTTTTTAAATCGGACAAAATTACACAAATATTTTTCACCGGGTCTCTGAAAATCGTAGTTTTGGCGGGTCTCGGCGTACAATCGTAAAAGACATCTAAAAATCGTACCTTGTACGCCAAAATCGTAAGAGTAAACAGGTCTGTAATTGGGCACCAGACACTAAAAGAAAAAAAAATAATCATGAGAGGAAACCAGAATTGGTGCGGGATTCACATGATTTGTGTATTTTAATCTAGCAAGTGCCTTATCACTAGGTGTCAGCAGGTTTAATTGGTTCTTGTGGCCTCCAGATATGGACTAATAGAAAGGTGAAATAGTTTTATTGATCCATTCAAGGCAGCCGTGCTTAGTGGTGATTGAAACCCAATAATTTAAACAAACCCTCCAGCATGGAAGTTGAAAGACAATTGCCAACTTAACACGCGATGAAAATTGCCATCTTGTCCCTTAAAAGGTGCGCAAAGCCAAGTAAAGCAAAATTAAAACATTTCCTCTTTTCAATTCTATTTAAATTGCTGGTATTAAATGTTACTTACTATTGGATCAGCATCTGTAGCACTGACAGAGATAATGTTTGAACCAACTGGCTGAGTCTCAGGAATGGTCACACGATAGGTCTCATTAAAAAAGATTGGACTCTTCAGGTTTCTTGTCACAATCACCCTAACAGTGGCAGTATTTACTGAAGTTCTTGGTGGATTGCCCTTGTCACTGACAGAAACCACCATCTGGAAGAGAAGCGAGAGAATCACAGTTATCTTTTAGCAAAGAAAAATATAATTAATAAACTAAATTAATCAAATATATGCCTATATTGAAAAAATTCGAATAGTAATTTAACATAAAGATCTTTTATAATTTAAACATTTAAATGTCAACATTTTTATCAAATTTGATGGAAAATCATAGGCCTACGTTAAATTCAGAGATGTTGGTGGAAATTTTATTCAATTATTAAAAATAATAATTAGGATTAAAAAAAACCTAATTCTAATAGACTTTCTAAAATTTCAATAATGCAATTTGAATTTGAATTAACATTTAAGAATATCTTGACTTTATTTACTAATATATTTGTTTAATTTAAATTTGATGCACTGACTTGAAATAAAAATAATTAGTGCAGACAAGAAATTGTAAAATTGATACAAAACCCTCTAAACCTGTTTTTAAATTTCAAAATTTATGCTCAACAATAAGATACATTTTAATATTAGTTTCAAATGGATGAGATAACCTCATACTCATGGGTTTATATAACAGTTTGACAACTATTGTTTATGAATTATAATAGAGCATTATAAAATGACATGGACAGGACTTTTATCCCCAACATATTTTTTAGAACCTATGCCTATTCATGCATTGCTCATAAATAATCTCAACTAGAGGCCGACCGAATTTCGGCTTCGGCTTCTGTTTCGGCGCCGAAAGTGGCCATTTTATCACTTTCGGCCAAGTTTCGGTTTCGGCCGAAATTGGAAAGTTAACTTTCGGCTTAATTTCGGTTTCGGCCGAAAGAGAAAAGTTAACTTTCGGTTTTTCTTCGGTTTCGGCCGAAATTGACTTTGACTTTCGGCCATCCGGCTGAAAGTTACTCAGGTTTTCAGTCATTTAATACTAAGCGAAAGCGATATTTAACAAAAAACTAAGGGACATTTAAAAAAAAATTGAACGATCTTTGAGAACAAACTAAATGATATTTAACAACAAACTAAACGACATTTATGAACAAACTAAACGATCTTTAAAACAAACTAAGCGATCTTTAAGAACTATCTAAGCGATCTTTAATAAAAAACTAAACGATCTTAAAGAACAAACTAAACGATTTTTAAGACCGAACTAAATGATCTTTAAGAACAAAACAAATGATCTTTAATGATTTATAAGAATAAACTAAGCGATCTTTAACAGAAGACTAAATGTTCTTTAAAAACAAACTGAAAGATCTTTATGAACAAACTAAACGATCTTTAAGAACAAATAAAGCGATCATTAACAAAAATTAGACGATCTTTAACAACAAACTAATGCGATCTTTAAGAACAAACTAAATGATCTTTAACAACAAAC